AGGGGCAATTAGCCAGAAAAACCTACGTGGTGGGATTTTAAAGAGGCTGAAGACATTTATTGCTGGTTTTAGAGGCTGCATTATACCTCATGATGTTATTCTGACGCCAAGACTTCCTGCAGGGCTCTCACAATGTGATAACACAGAGGCTCCTGAGAGGCTTTAGACACTGGGAAAGTGGTTTTTAATTGCCTGACCTTGTACCACCAGGTCAGAGTCAGGGCACTGCTGGGGCCACGGACTCCTTTGGGGTCCATCAGGGCAGTCTGTCTTTTTATACTGGAGACCCTTCTGTACAGCCAACTGCAGCTGAAATGTCAATGCAAGTGTCCACCTGGGCCTGTGCTCTGTCTCCTCTATCCTTGGTTAGGTTGTCACAGAGTGAGAAGCTGCGGATGGAGTAACTCCACCCACAAATGGTTCTTGACTAACTCTGCCTTTATCCAGATAGTACAAAGTTTAGGGGTAGCTGTTCAGAGACTGAAGTTGTAATAAATGGTAGGGTAAAGGTGCTGATGAAGCAATGGAATGTGGACTAACAAACACATGTCATAGTCTTAATGTAAAAGATCCCCCACAATTCTCGTAACCAATAAATAATTTTAGTTACTCACTAAGCATTTGTACTCCAGATGGGTTATGCAGAATTATTTGATAGTTAATGGTCACTCATTAGACTATGTTTGACAATTCAATAGTCTGATTTTATCTTATAGGTGTGAGGGGATTTCAGGATGTAAGAAAACTGCTTTCAGGGGACATGAAAAATTTTTATGTATTGGTCACACTCAGTTCTCCAGAATTGTACTTTAAGTCATCCTCTTTGAATTGGAAGCTTACAACAGCATTGTGTTTTCTGAGAAATGACACTTCAAATAAAGCTGTACTGAAGTGTTGTTGAATGATAAGGACACAATGGATAGCTCTCTGCTGAAATTACCTTGAGAGAATTAGAAAACCAGGCCCTATTTGTGTATAATTCTCTTTGAATAAATGTACCATTTGAAGAATGTAGTTTTGTTTGAAAAACTGAAATTTTGTTCAGCTGATAGCAGTCCAAGGCACCTATTTTTCTCAAAGTCTTGTCCAGAACAACAATCCATAGAAACAAGATTTTTCTCACATAAACAATCTCTAAACTATATTTTCTCATGAATAAACAGTGTTTGTCTTGCTAATTTGTAAACAAAATCAAACTGCAAGTTTGTCTCTCCCTGGCATACTGACTCTTTCAGTGGAATTAATTCCCCTGGGTGCCTTTACCAGATTTGTTCCCTTTATTCCTGAACACGAAGTTCAGTTCAAAACAATAAAAAGAGAGGAGGAGCTTTTCTTCTTTGGTTTTGCAGTAAGTGACTGCAAAATATTTTGTTGCCACAAGCATGTGAAGTTCTGTGGACTCTTCCAAATCAAACATTGATTGTAGCATTGCCTGTGATCTTCAAAGAACTGGATGTTCCTTTCAGGCTTATTAGCTTCTGGTAGAATCCAAAATGAACTTCTAAATTTAAAGCTGGCCAGACGTAGGGAAGTTCCAAAATCTGAGAAAAGTCTTCACTTTTGCATGTTAATATATCAGGGGAGAATTTAAACAGTAATTTCATCACAATACAATAAAAGCTTAAAAAATCATGGCTTAAAGAATCTGTTCAAAAAGCAGCATAGGTAAATATATGAAGACATTGGTATGTGAGACAGATAAATTTGCTTGGACAGTGAACAACTAAAATGCAATTAAAAATTTACAGGCAATTAGGAGATAATGCATAGAGATTTACCCATCTGCTAGCATGCAAGAAATGCAGACAGACTGAAAAATTTAAATCTTTCTAGAAGCTTTTTTATTCAATTATATTTTGTGTTCCTCCTGACTCTTTCTCCACAGGAAAGGAATATTTTCAAAAGAATGCTCCATTTAATCATAACTAGTGAAAACTGAAAAAAAATTTACATGTGTATTTTGAATTTTATATCGACTCCTAACATAACCCCCAGGCTCAGCTTGAGATCTAAAATTGTAGACAGAGATTTCAGTTGTATTGCAAATGCACAGGATCACTTATAAATTTACCCAGTGAACATGGCAAATCCTGTTGTCTCTAACACAAAAATGGAGAAAAATCAGCAGTTTTCATAATTTGCAACCTGTCAACCTTGCAGCCTTTTCCCTGTCTTGTTGGCTGTCTGTGTATTAGACACAGGGTGTAACAGGAAGAGCCATCAAATGTCTACACCAGGTTAAAGACATTACCCTGAACTGTAAGTCTGGGTGTTGCTCAGGCATCATGACAGGAGCAGATGTTTTGGGATATTGATTTGAGTGCATTCACAGATGAGTCCAGGTGGGCTACAGAGAACAGGCACTTCATTTCTGCTAAGACAAGGTGGGAACCAGCTCCAGACAGTGCTTGGATCTCATGGCAATCTGAGATACACTATCTGTGACTGCAGAAATATTTTTAAGTCGAAGAAAACAGTGTGGGATAAAATCTACCAAAATCTTACTGCCTAAGTGTTGACTTCTTGTTTTAACAAGATAGACGGAAAAAATTCTCACTGGTCCATAACCCGCATAACCACAGCTGCTCTGTGTTTTGCAGATAAATGGTATCTGGAGGCTTGGGAATGGTGCTGGGAAAGGCAGTGGGATAGTTTGGGGAAGAGTGGGTAGATGGGTTACTGAAAAACAGTGTACTCTGCTCTTGCAGGAGGACTCAGAGGAACATCATCAAAGCTGTGCCCATGGGACAGATTTTGTTTGGTGAGGTAGAAGCCCAGGTGCTCATGGCAAAGCAAAGCAAAAAAAATGGCAGTGCAGGGTGGGAGCTGGTCTCTGTCTCCTGGGGTCTGTGAGTGACCACTGCCTCTTTCCCCTGGCCTGGGGATGCTGCAAAGGGAGGCTGGCACCAGCCAGTTTCTGAAACTTTTTTGTAGGTGAGGGCAGTCAGATGAGGGCTGAAGGCAGCCAGGCTAACCACACCTGCCAGGACTGCCCTGAGCTGCCACTGGCTGGTGTGGTAGAAGAATGCAGTAGCTGGTGGCACCACCTGAGCTCTGCTGCAGCCATGACCTTGTCTGTCCCTTACTTTCACAAGGGTGCCTTTCCAAGCCCTAATTGCCAGCATCTCCATGAGAGGAGTCCTTATCAAAGGACTTTTTGTAGAATTTCAATAATATTTTTTACTGTTGAATTTTTAATTTTGATATGAGTCTCTATTGAGTGTCCCTCATTGTGGGGCTAAATGTTGGGTGTTTTATTTAATGATTATTTCTCCATGTTTAGGTGTTATTAGGAGAGAATAATTTTTGATAGGAATCATTTACATTTGGACAACTCATTGTGAATTTGGAGTCTTTGCATGTGTAGAATTAGAGAAGTCTTCCTGACAGGAATGCATTGACTTCTAACATGGTGGAAGCTACTTATCTCACTTAACTATGTCTGCATTAGGAAAGCAGATGGAAAATAATGTTTTGAGGGAAGGAACATTTGGCTGATAATTAATGCATTGCAGAATTAATATAAGCACTGCCTTGATCAACATTTTCTTTCCAATATTTTTTATAATTTTAAAGTCATCATTTGTGAGCACAGGGCACTGCAGGAGATGTTTTGTTTTGCCTTTTATTTAACATTGTATGTTTCTTTTCTTTTCCCCCTCACTTCTAAGTCATTTTTTGCTGTCCAGCTTTACATTTATTCTGCTATTTGATGGAAATGAAAAAATTCTTATTAAAACAAGTGATTATATCTGAACTCCCTCCTAAACTTGCATTTTATAGATGAGCTTTTTCTTTTTTGCAATAAATGGATAGGTTTGGAAAATTTTCATTTTTGATTGAATTGATTGATTGATTTTTGTAGGTCTATAGAGGCTTTCAGGTTTATTGTCCCTTATTCAACCAAAGATAACCTGACCTGAATTTGTCCATATTCTATTCTCTTGAAATTCTCTTACTACTTCTCTCTAGAACAGCTGAATTACTTCCTTGAATTACTGTGAGGTTAATTCCTCAATATGCTCTGGACTGCTTCAGGATGTTTTACTGCTGAAAGCCATTCTGCCTTAAAGTTTTGTGAACTCTGTATTATTTTGGCAGGAACAATTCAAAATTTTCTCACATGGGTTTCTAAATTACAAGCTGCTTTGTAGCATTCTTCCAGACTGGGTAGTTTCTTCCTTACCTGGGTGGCTGGCTTCCTTGGAAGTGTTTGAACTTTATCTCTGATATTATGTTTTTTGAATTCTTTGTTGTAGCATGTCATGGTTGAATCAAAGTGCTTTTCTTATCTGTGGAGCTTACTCTTTTATTAAAGAGAACTGGCACTGACAAGCTCATCAATTCCCTTTGAGAGTTCAGATCTGGCTTAGGAGTTTTAAAATTCAAAACCCATCTTTGCTGGCACAACAACTTTATGTTGGAAATAACACTTTAGTGACAAAAAATAGCTTTTTAATCAAAATATCCTATTCTTTTGGACTTACACTCCAAAAGTTTGTTTTGAAACTTAGAGATCACTAATTGCATGATTTTAAGGAGATTAGCTGTAAAAGAAGAGTCTTGAGTTTGCTTTTTCAGCAAAACTACATGCCCATGTTTTCTTTTTAACCATATACTTTTATACAAATGTACTGTTTAGAAACAAATGTTCACTTAATTGCAATTTAAAGAACAGAATTTTAAAGTAGTATAGGCACTGAATTGAAATTATTGATACAAAATTAATTGGCTCATATCTGGGGTAATGCAACATGATGCAGATTTTAGTTTGGATTTTTCTGAAAATGACAAAAGACAGTTAAAACATTTGTTTAGTTTTTTTTTTTTCCTTGCATGAAAACTATTAGTAGAATTAGCTTAGTGTAGTGGTCTGGTTGACAAAGATTTGTGTGCTCACTTATTTTTTATTAATTCTTTGGTAACCCTCTGAAAAATCTCTGGCAGTGTACTACAAGCATAGTATTATTTTGGGTGTAATTGTATTTTTAAGCCTTCACACAGATGTTGCACAGGACCCCATAAATGCTTCCATAATTTTAATTTTTTATGAAGTATTCACCAGCTACATTTTGACCTGGAACAGTAGAACATCTTCTTAAATGTGCTCCGCAGTTCTGGGCTTCGGAATGCAAAAATCATAGGGTTGATGATGGCATTGCACATGATGAGTGTCCCATTCACGTGGAAAATAGACATGTAGCAGGCACAGTAAGGGTTGTGTGGGCAAAACCTTGCTAAGAGGATGTGAAGAACAAAGGGGGCCCAACAGCAAAGGAAAACTCCAAGAAAAATAGTCAGTGTGATCGCACCTTTCATGTTAGTTCTGTGATGGATGGTGCTGGGCAGTGAGGCGATCTTTTTGGCATGAGTTCGAGCCAGGAGGAACATGTGGACGTAGAGGCAGAGTATGAAAAACATCATCAAAGGGAACAGGATGGTGAAGGGAATGACTGTTGCTGCTTCATAGGAGAAGAGGGCAATGGCAATGCTGCTGCCGGCACAGAACGCCCAGATGATTGCCAGGATAACCAAGGCCCTCCTCAGCGTCATGATATTGTGGTACCGCAAGGCGTAGAAGATAGTGATGTATCTGTCTGCTGCAATGGCTAGCAAGCTGAAAATAGACCCCAGCAGAGACAGAATGAACATGGAATCCATGGCATCATCCAGTTTTTTCTCGAAGTCTCCGTGACGTGTCAGGTATCCCATTTTGCACAAGATGATAAAGATATTCTCTAGGGTTTTGTACAAGCTACCTAACATGTCTGAAATGGCTAAACTACAAATGAAGAAGTACATGGGCAAGTGTAAATTCTTATTTCTAACAACAGCAATGAGGATAAGTAGATTTTCCAGTATCCCAGCAGCAGCAACAGTAAAAAACACTTCCTCCGGCACCACAACCTGGGTGCAGTCAGTGATATTTAATGAAAAATCACTTATGTTTTCGAGGGATGGAATGCTTGTCTGCCCTGGATGTTTGATTAAGATGGAAGGTCTCTCAGTGCTCATTCTTCTGGTCATGGAAAGAGTCTGGGTTGCTTCTTTTTCAGGTTTGTCTCTATTCTGAAGCTGATCTGTCAATCGCCATTCTTCTTTTGATCAAGGCTCTCTTCTTCATATGGAACAATTTTAAGACTTAACTGAGATTAACTGGAATTTCTCCTACAATAAAACATGTAGAAACATTAATATCAAGAAGAAGTTGACCACACATATGAGGCAAAAATAGATATTTGAAATATAATCTATTACAGTTTAAAGCACATCAATAATCATCACAGAAAAAAACAATAGGATGAAATAAGAGCTGTTCAAAGCTTCACTGAACTTTAAAGAGAATCAAAGTGTAAATTCTCTTTTAGCTTCAAAGTAATTAAAAAAATATTTATAATTTTCTTTACTAATGTGCGTCCCACATTTACTGAAACTAATCTGACAGACTTGAAGAGTTTGGCAATCTTTCCTGGCCCAGATGTTTGCTTTGAGAAAGCCTGGCAGTTCTCACAAGATTTTCAGCATTATTAGACACAAATAAAACTAATGCAAAGGTGAACTCTTGTTCAGAACAATAGCATGTTTACCTCCACACTGTTGATGGTGTATTGAAATGCTCTCAATTTAGAGGTGAACATTTGTAAATATTGATGTATTCAGAGGAATGCTTGATACTAGTGAGAGTCTTCCTTTTCATTTAGATTGAAACTGTCTTTTGATTCCATGAACATATTTCTAAGATCCAAAGTACTACATTTTCTTGTCTGTGTTTTACAACTATCTAAACCCCCAAATATTCAAATATTATTTTGGCATCAGGATGATGTTTTCCTTTTCCCATAATTATCCTAATCTAAACTATGTCCAAGAATATAGGAATCTTTCCAAAGGAATAGACTTTTTACTCTCTTCATTAATGTATAAATTGATATGATATTAACTGAGCTTGGATACAACCCATAAACGATAAGAAAGAGTTTTTCTTGTTGTCTTCATAGCCAGTCTAGGGAAATACAGATGTAGTTTTGGTATTTAGAAAGTCCTCTTCTTTACAGATATATTTTCACTGAGTGGGTTGTCAAGCACTGGAACAGGCTGTCCAGAGAAGTGGTTGAGTCACCATCTCATGAGGCATTTAAATGAGGTATGGATGTGACACTTAGGGACATTAGTTAGTGGTGGACTTGGCAGTGCTGGGTTAATGGCTGGACTGAATGATCTTAAAGGTATTTTCTAGCCTAAATGAGTCTAAAATTTCATGGTTCCCCCTATATTTTTAAGTTTAAACCATCTTTCTTTGACACTTTCATATCAGTAAATCTTGAAATTTCTTTGGACATTTGTTCATAATCAGAATTGTTGAACACTATAATACAGTTACTGCTTCAAAGGGAGAAGTCAAAAGTTTTATTTATTTTGTATACAAAATAAATAAATGGGGCTGTAGCACCAGACATTACAAATTTGAGGAAACAAGATCACTTAAGAGAAAACATTCAGGAGAGTACCCATACAAAACTGAAAACACAGGCTGTATAGTGGAAAAAAATGTACTGTATTGCACTGCAGCATGTGTGGACATTCCCAAAGATAATTAGGCTGGCATCTGTCAGTATGTGATGGAAGGAGTTGCTGACAAGAATAAGAAACTTGACAATGTCTTTGTAATGATATGTTTTTCCTATTCTCACCTGGAGCTACTGTCACAGTTAACTTTAATGATTTCTAATCTAGCACTCTGCTACCAATTTTCACTTTTTATAGGAAGTCAGCACACACACTTCAGACAAAACTTAACTTCAATAGGATTTAAATAGGAGAATCAGTTAGCAAACATTTATTGAGTTGCTATTTTCTCAAAACTGTGTTTCAGAAATGCTTCTTTGCTGATACAGTCATATTGCTGAAATAATCTAGCTGAAAAACATGGTTTCATGCAGTGAAAATACTTAATATTATGAATGGCATGGTATATTACATCTGCTGCTTATAATTTTACAGTAACTTTGTATTAAGCTAAGAGCAGAGAATTTATACAGGCTTTGGTTGGTGCATTTACAATACTCTGAATAATTACATCATTTAATGATGTTTTCTAACAATCAATAGAAAGCCAAAAAAAGATTCTCATTTCAGCATGTATACATGGCTATGCACACTATTATATATTCTATTCGGGTTCCATAAAAAATCTTGTCCATTATCTCCTTTTCTGATGCTTTCATGTCATGCACAGTCATATTTCAATCTCAGATATCCAGGACAGAAATATCTGTGTATACAGTGTTCTACATGTGTCATAAATCCAGTGCTTGATCTGCACAACAGACATCATATCATACATCTGCAGTAAATTCCACAGCTACAGGATTCTTTTCACTGCTGCTGATCTCCCAGGTAGTGTGCATTGGGTAGTTTAGTGTTCTAAGCAGTGTAGGAACAGGGAGGCTACACACGGGAGCTGAAGCTGCTGTAAACACGGTGAGTAACATCAGAGGGACCCCCAGAAAAATGACTCTGGGCCCCCGGCACCAAGAAGCCCAGGATGAAGAAGGACCACCAGGACTCCACTGGATCCATGGGTGGTGACTGACCTCTGCTCAGTCTCTTTCTTCCCTCCTCGCCCTTTCCTATATTTTTCTATCTCTCTACCTCACACACACTGTTAAATAAAATCCATACTATTACTTTGGCATGTGATCTTGTCTTCACCTTCACTCAGGCAGAGGCATCTTTCAATAATTGGATCTTAACAGTGTCTTAAAAGGTAATGGGAAAAGAAGACACTTTGGAGCTTGGATGCATATTTCTACTGCCTAGAAATTAGAGCTAAGGTCCTTTCACTTAAGTATAAAAGGAGAAAAAAAAAAGTTTATTCTCCTTTCTTAATACTAAAGACATTGGTATTAATGTCTTTGGTATTAACACAGGAGCATAAACATTTTTTTAAATGGAGTGGGTGCAATAGATTTCCTCTCCCCTATCAGTACCTTGCCAGTTTGTACTGTCCAGATGGAGGGTCTATGCCACTGACTCTCTGAAATACCTGTTTTATCTTTTGCAGGTATCTGCACAGTCAGCCTTTCCCAGCTAGTGTTTACATTTCAGAACTATTAAAAATAGGACACAACGATTCTAAAATAAAAAAAAAAACACCATTTAGGACAATTCCAGTTTTCCTGGAAATCAATAGTTGAATTATTTGGATTTTACCTTTTGTGGTCATTCATGGTCTAGGAATAAGTCTGCCTGACTGTAGCAAGAAATGTAAAAGTCAAAAAGCATTAAATGACAATGAAAGACTTAAAATCCGAAACACATTTACATATGTAGCTGTATAACAAAATCAGCAAAAAATTTCAATCCATTCTTGTTCAAATTAAATCCTGAATGGAGAAATCAAGAGCTCAGTAACACTGGATATTCAGAAACATTATTTGTCTAGCAGGATGCAGTTTCCTGAGCTGGTACAATGGGCAATGAACTGATGGCAATAGTAAAATTTCTAAAAATGCATATATTTGGAGTAATATCATAAATTTCTATTTGTTTGGTAGCTATCTAAAGGAAGATGAAGCAGCAAACTGGGAGAATGGAAACCAGGACCAGAAACTATACTGACAATATTGTACAAAATTAGGAAACAAATCAAAATCAGATTACCTGACAATGAATGGAAATCACCATGATTATGGTCAGGTTCCTTATGATGCTGTTGTTACTTGGAAAGCATGTTTGCACTGGTTTATATTACACAGCTAAAAGACAGCCCCAGTACTTCAGCTTGTGGCAAGGCTGAAAATACCCTTGAAGATGCTGGGAACTGCCAGTGCTGCAGAGCATTAACCTTGGGCATAAACCATAACTCTCTCCCATGTGTCCTGTGCCCACTGATAAATAAAACTCAAATTTCTCTGCAATAGAAATACAGTGACTTAGCATCTGAAAGGTCTGGGAATAATAGGTCTGCTCTTGATTCTTTTTTTTAATTGGATAAAAAACTTAATTCACTAAATAAATAAATAACACATTTCCCTCGATGCCAAAATAAACTGGCCAGGTCAGCTGCAATAGCTATAAAAGTAATTTCAGCTGGAAACTATAATGAGAAATATGGTTAAAAAATAATATAGCTTAAATTCTGTATAATTTTCCAGAGACTTTTTTGTCCTATCTATTATTGTTTTAATTCAAAGCATACTTCCTTTTATCATAAAGACACCAAGTTGTATTTCCTCTCTAAATAGCTGTTAGTAAATAAAACCTGAAAGGGTACTGAGTAGCTTCTTCAGGTTTAGGACTCCACAAAACATCTGTGATAATGAGCCACTCATGTAGGGGCAATGATTTCTTTCCAGAACCATGAAATGTATGAATTCCTTGTTCTGTGTATCTAAATTTTTTGAAAAAAAAGGTAATGTGGAAGGAATGAAACAGAATAATTGGTTTGTTCATCAGACACAGTATAAACAGTACATTTCACAACCCACTCAGTATATAAATAAGTGCTCATTTGTCACTAGAAATGCCATAACCTTCCCTCAATCCCCAAAAGTCTCCAATGTATTAGCACTTGCTTCAATGCCTTTATATCTAGCTAGCTCCAAAGCTTTATCATTGGGACACTTGGTAATCTGTCCAGTTTGGTTCCCCTCGCCTGGTGCAGTTTAGAATGTCCTCCATTGTCTGAAAATGCCAGCCAAAGTCCCAAGGACAGGAGTAATGTATTTTTTCAGTCACTTGCATTCAAGCCATTGCAATTTTGTATTGAGATGCATTTGACAAAAAAGCTAGGGACAAATACATTTTCCCTTGTTTCTAGCTTTTCTGGGAGCACCAGGCATTTAAGAAGGAAACAAGCCACTCAAAAACATGGGTATGGAGGCTTAGCTTTTAGAATTGTAAAAGAAAAAAATGGCAACTTTTTTTTTTTCTCTTTATTTTTGTCTTTTGTAGGCAGGTAATGGCTTTCATGGGGACAAGAAGACTGGATGTGTTATGTGCAGGTGAGTTGTGAGGATGATCCCTACATGTGCTAATGGGGTTTTTTTTTTTTTGTCTGCCAGCCTGGCTTAACCCTGAGCAAACAAGTAAGTGAAAAAGCACACCAAGCCTGATCCTGCCTTGCCCTGCACATCATATGGTTCCTTACAGTCACTAGAAG